TAAGAGAGAACCATCAGTCCATACATTATTTATCAGCACTGCCCTACTACCAGAAACCTGAGAATGAGTAGTTCAGTGCTAGGGACTCACTTGGCTTTGAGATGACTCAGAATCAGTTAGGTTGGATGGGAACACAGTGGGTCACTGGTCCAACCTCCCTACTCCAGCAGGGCCAGCCCAGAGCTCATGGCTCAGGGTTGTGTCCAGGAACCATCAGTCCATACATTATTTATCAGCACTGCCCTACTACCAGAAACCTGAGAATGAGTAGTTCAGTGCTAGGGACTCACTTGGCTTTGAGATGACTCAGAATCAGTTAGGTTGGATGGGAACACAGTGGGTCACTGGTCCAACCTCCCTACTCCAGCAGGGCCAGCCCAGAGCTCATGGCTCAGGGTTGTGTCCAGAAGGTTCTTGAATACCTCCATGACCTCTCTGGTGAGTCAGTGACTCGTACAGTGAAGAAGTTCTTCCTTGTATTCAGGTGGAACTTAAATACTCATACAGAACACTTGGACATGGAATGTTAGCAAGTTTCTCTTACTCCACTGCAGCACTTCTCATCTGAAATCAAAGCACTGCTGTGTAATCTTGATTACCTGTTTGGATGCCATACTCAACAAAAGGATTTGCTTGTCAATACCATTTGTGCATTAAAAGGATGATGGAACTCCCACAGAGGGTCTGCAGTACAAATCACTGATTCTGTTACTACCTCGAGGAATTCCTTAACAGGTTCTAAGCACAGGTTTGCTGAGTCTTATGCATGGAACCCCCACAGAACCCCCAGACAGCACTGCATCTTCAGCTGCTCAGTGCCCTTTAGTTATACTGTACCTCTCCAGAAGTGATGCAAAGGGAGCTACATGCCAGAGATGCTGCAGCCCAATAATGAAGGAAATAAAAAGTCAAATTGTACTGAAGGATAAAAAAATTCAAACAGGACATCAGACTGACAGTGTGGTAATTCAGGCAGTTTGGCTCTGACAGGGAAGTGTTGTCTTAAGAAACACTGAAAATAAGGAAGATCCAGAATTGTCTTAAGTGGAAGGTTTAATCATTACTTTTTAATTAACCACACACACAGAGTGCACATAAATCTCGGTGTGATCGGTCTTACAACGTTGAGGTTTGTTATTTCCAGTTGGAAATACATCCCTGCTTTGCATCTAACGATGCCCCACGTCCTGGGAGAACACCCATTCACTGAATGGATACAACTTGGGAGTGACAGAGCTGTAGTGCCATTCTCCTTAGTCATTCCCTATTTCACTAAGGCATTAGCTATTACTGAAGTTTATTACTGAAGTTTATCGCTGAAGTGAGTGATATGAGTACCTAAGGGTCCCTGCAATACCTGCAAGTCATCTGGTTTGCACCTACACACTAACCCCAGCAGGATAAAGAACCAAGCAGTGTACATGCAGAGCACTCTCCAGAAAAAGGCTAATTTGGACAGTCTCCATCTCAGCTGTACTGCAGAAAAGCACTGCAAGGCCACAACAAATTGAGGATGGGAATGAAATGACAACTCACTGTAAGCCAACACTGCAAGTAACTACACCTCCATTAAAGTATGTGTACTACATTTCAACATAGTCTAAATCTATCAAGTCTGTCAAGTCTCCACCTAGAAAATTC